AGTATTGTGATTTGTGCAGGTTGGATCTTCTACCGTCGATCTGATGTGCCTTGAACGGTTTCGATCAGAGGTCTTTTAGGTAAGGTTGGAATCCAAACCGTCGATATCTAAGTCATTGAATGGTCGAGGTCTCGCCTGACGTCTCTCAAACCATTTCAGGAGAGAGGTGAAGTTGTCAATGGTTGGAATCTCAACCGTAGATCGTCATCGCTGGATGGCTACGATCGAGAGATGCAGAAGATTATGCTCAATGGCTTCCGATTGGTTCAAACACAGATTTCGGCTGAGGCTATCACACATAACTGAGTTCCAACACCCAACCTTCTCATTTCCTCCTCTCATTTCTTCCAGACGGCTTTTTGTTTCGTTCCTCACTCTTCAGTTTCACCTGCCACACAACGCCCCTGTTCGTTTTTCAGCTTGGGAACCTTCAGCGCTATTAGTTGATTTTCCGTCGTTTGCCTTCACCTTATGACACGACAGAATGTGATATGTCGTGACGATTTGGGCGTGGCGATTTGGCCATGGCGATATCGGCGTCGCGATTTGGGCGTGGCGATATGGGCGATGGCGTGCGGGCTGCGGCAGCGTTGTTACTACTTTAAGCAGTATGCTTAGTTTCTGTTGTGTGTTTTGCTAACTTTAACTTCTTGTTGTCTCTTCCCCAAAGACTAACGGTTCATGATTGTGTCGCGATTTTGCAGGCTACAAGTTTTCCCATGCAGAATGTGCTATTATGGTTTTTTACATCAGTTACCGTTCTGTATTTTTTGGCAAGTGGTGGCTGAACCCTGGTATGTACTTTGCGCTCTCTAATTGTTGATTATTGACTCTTGTTTTGCAGGGATGTGTTTATCCTTCGCAGCTGCAAGGTTCGGCCACTTAGTAGGGCCGTTACTCGTGGAGATGATTCGTACGTTGCGTTATAAACTATCTTTAAACGTCGATTTGTAACGTTATATAATATTATTTGATCTCATTTTCTGTTAACAAACAACTGTATTGTAACCTGGAATCGTAAATCAAACGTAATGAATCATCCCTAAATTTGCTGGATAAGCACTTGACATATACTATGTACCTACTCCAAGCTGAGGGAGTGGTTTCAGAGTATATTTAAATTGTTTACTATATGGTTACTATACATGTATGGAGCCCACTGTATCTGGTAACCGGGAACCATAGTAAGGGCCAACAATTTACCATGTCGCAACTCTCGCGAGGGGAAGTGGGAGCAGAGCACATCCAATGTCCCGACAGTATCGGGGCAGAGGGAGTAAAGGGTCAGTAGAAAAACCTGTATATACATTGGTTCCTCCGACATTGCGCCCGTAATGGATGTAGTTAGTAGATATGAGGTAGCTACTTTTGGGATGTGGTCCGACCGAAATATATGGAGGACAGTCACGTGGTCCCCATCTCTTGAGGTTCCCTTTTTTACCGCACGAGAATCTCTCCAGGTTTCCTTTTACTGTTCGGTATAACCAAGGGTGGTGGCGGCAACAGCATAACTGGAGGAGTGTAGTGACATGGCCATAAGCGGACAGGCCTATCCATGCGCTGAAGCATGGTGTGTAACATGAGAGATGCGGACAAGTGGACGGCGCCGCATCTTTCCCTAGTGTCGCACATTCTTCCCCTCACGAATCACGACACGATCTCTGTTGTCTGCAACAGCGAGGGCTTTCAGTTCAGAGTGCGAGCGGAAACTGGGCGCTGGTTGTTTTGTTTGTACAGTAGTTCCGCCCCTCGGGGGGTCCGTGGGGGCGCTGAGCTTGTTGATGTCCGTGCAGGCGCTGGTCGAGGTCCATCGCGTCGCGGAGCAAAGCAACATTGCCCTCAAAGCAAGCAAGCAACGCGTTGACTAACGTCGTATCCTAGTCAAGTGTCAAGTTACTGTTGGTGTCAAGCGTGTAGTACGGTTGACACCAACTGGAGCCGCGTGTGAGCGCGGCTCCAGCCTGGTGTCAATGTTCGGCACATTGGGAGATTTCTCGCGATAACATTGGTCGATTTCGCTGACACCAGGAGGGATAGTCCTTCATGTGTTTTCCGAGTTGGTGTCATGACACTAGCCCATCTTGACACTTGACTGGGATACGACCTAAGACGGATGGTCCGAAAAAAGTCCGAAACATGGTTAAAGCCCAAGACCTGAATTACTCAACGGAAGTCAACGGAAAAAATTAGGTTCGGAAGGGAGGGACACGGAGGTTCGGTTGGGGTGCGAAGCACTTTCGCTCGCGAAACCAATTTGCGACAAAAGTTTCTCGCGCACAAGAATATGAGTGATGGGTGGTCCTTCCCACAACGACCAGAAAAGGGCGTCCATCCCAAACTGTGCACAGTTTGAGATAGCACGCAGATAACTAGGCATAGAGCATACCTGTAGACATAGCGGGAAATCAGAGGCGCCTTACGAATGAGTGTGGCGCGGATTTCGATGACGCGCAAAGATAGTGTCCGCTGGTGTCGAAATGCAGGTTTGAGTGCAACTGATGCGTAAACTCGCGGCGAATATCGTAGCGTGACCCTTCGCCCAAGCGTGAACCTCTCCTCGCCCTCGCTCCTTTCCCTAGGTCCCACGCTTCCAATCTCTTTCGCCATCGCTTCCCCAGCTCGTCGCCTTCGCGACCTCAGCCCGTCGCCTTCGCCCCGCCCGTCGCCTTCGCTTTCCACGCCTGTCGCCTTCACTTCCCCTCCCCCGTCGCCTTCACTTCCCCTCCCCCGTCGCCTCACTTTCCCCCCCGTCGTCACCTTCACTTCCTCTCCGCCGTCGCCTTCACTTCTCCCCCACCCGTCGCGCTCATTTTCCCCCTCCCGTCGCCTTCCCCCGCCCGTCGCACTCGCTTTCCCCGCCCGTCACACTCGCTTCCCCGCCCGTCGCACTCGCTTCCCCGCCCGTCGCACTCGCTTCCCCCGCCCGTCGCACTCGCTTCCCCCGCCCGTCGCACTCGCTTCCCCCGCCCGTCGCTCTCGCCTCCCCCGCCCGTCGCACTCGCTTCCCCCGCCCGTCGCTCTCGCTTCCCCCGCCCGCCGCACTCGCTTCCCCTCCCGTCGTCACCTTCTCTTCCCCGCCAGTCGCACTCGCTTCCCGCCTGTCGCCTTCACTACCCCTCCCATTGCCGTTCACTCTCTCCTGCTCACGCTCTCCCCCCCGCTCACTCTCTTCCCCACCCTCACTCTCTTCTCTCCTGTACACTCCCTTTCCCCCTGTTCTCACCCCTCTCTTTCCCCCTTCACTCAACCCTTTCCCCCTGCTCACTCTCCTCCCCCCTGCTCACTCCCTTCCCCCCTGCTCACTGCTCACTCTCTCCCCCCCCCCCCCCCCCCCCCCCTTACTCTCTTCTCCCGTGTGCACTCTCTTTCCCCCTGCTCACTCTTTCCCCCCCTGCTCACTCTCTCCCCCCCTGCTCACTCTCTCTCCCCCTGCTCACTCTCTTCCCCCCTGCTCACTCTCTTCCCCCCTGCTCACTGCTCACTCTCTCCCCCCCATACTCTCTTCTCCCCCGTGCACTCTCTTCTCCCCCCTTCGCTCTCTTCTCTCCTGTTCACTCCCATTCCCCCTGCTCACTCCCCCTGTCCTCACCCCACTTTCACTCTTTCTCACCCATTTTCCCCCTTCTCGCTCTCTTTCCCCCTTTGCTCGCCACCTTTTTCCCGGCTCACTCCATTACTCCCACGCTCTCTCTCTCCCCCTCTGCTCACTCTATTTCCCCCTGCTTACTCTCTCCCCCCTTGCTCACTCTCTTTCCCCTCTGCTCACTCTCTCCCCCTCTGCTCACTCTCTTTCCCCCTGCTCACTCTCTCCCCCTCTGCTCTCTCTCTTTCCCCCTGCTCACTCTCTCCCCCTCTGCTCACTCTCTTTCTCCCTGCTCACTCTCTTTCCCCTCTGCTCACTCTCCCCCCCTCTGCTCTCTCTCTTTCCCCCTGCTCACTCTCCCCCCGTCTGCTCTCTCTCTTTCCCCCTGCTCACTCTCTCCCCCTCTGCTCTCTCTCTTTCCCCCTGCTCACTCTCTCCCCCTCTGCTCGCTCTCTTTCCGCCTGCTCACTCTCTCCCCCTCTGCTCTCTCTCTTTCCCCCTGCTCACTCTCCCCCCCTCTGCTCGCTCTCTTTCCGCCTGCTCACTCTCTCCCCCTCTGCTCTCTCTCTTTCCCCCTGGACTCACTTATCTTTCCCCCCTGTTTACTCTATATTCCCCTTCGTTCAACCCTTTTTCCCTCCCTCCCCCTGCTCACTCTATTTCCCCCTTTGCTCACCCCCTTCTCCTCCCTGCTCACTCTATTTTCCCCTTTGCTCATCCCCTTCTCCTCCCTGCTCACTCTATTTCCCCCTTTGCTCACCCCCTTCTCCTCCCTGCTCACTCTATTTCCCCCTTTTCTCACCCCCTTCTCCCTGCTCACTCTATTTTCCCCTTTGCTCACCCCCTTCTCCTCCCTGCTCACTCTATTTCCCCCTTCTCCCCCCTACTGACTCTCTTTCCCCTTCGCTCACCCTTCTGCCCTGTCCCCACTCCTCCCATACATGCCCTTTGTACCTCCCACCTCCACCCCTCGCTCATTCGCCGTACCCCCTCTTCCCTCCCCATTCTATCACAGAACCATGCTTGTACAGGTGCCCGGCACCATGGGTCCCAACAGGAGTGGGATGGAAAGTTACCACCCCCTAGGTTTGTGCATTGTGCCTCTATAATCCACTGTTGACAACTTTTATAAAAATATAACTTGCTTTGTTGCATTTCTTTGTCGTGGTCATGTGCATGGCTGCTCCAAAGCCCAGAGTGTTGTATGATTGTATCATGAAAAGCATCCACCATCATGGCATGGCATGGCATCGCTATTTGTACCACTATCACCCAACAGCAAAGACATCACAACTTCATGCATGACAGACCTGCACAAACACGAACCACAAAATCTTCTGTGCCAAAAGTTGAAGCAGCGGGGAAGGATACAAAGCAATGCCAATGGAAGGGCAGGCAGGGAACAAGAAACAAGCCCCTAGAATAAACAAACAAGGTAGGAGTGTACAGGCGTGGCAGGGTAGAAGGGTGCGGAGGAATGGTTGACGAGAGGAAGTGTGGAGGCTGAGAGGAAGGGAGGATGGCAGCGAGGGATGCAGGGAAAATAAGCATGCGCCGAGGGAGAAAATGAGCAAGGGAGACAAGAAGGAAGGGCGGAAGAGAGAAAGGGAGGGGGGAAGGAAGAAAGGGAGGATGGGAGGATGAGAGAACGGGAGGATGAGATGAAGGGAGGATGAGAGGAAGGGAGGATGAGCGCAAGGGCTGGAGGGTGGAAGGGTGGAAGGGGAGAAGGGGGGATGAGAGGATGTGAGGAATTCAAGTAGGGATAGGACAAGTGGGTGAGACGGAAAGGCGGACTATAGGAAGCTCGGAAGGTGGCAGTTTGAAAAGAAGGTCGGCATGGTGGAAGAGAGGCACGAGGATGAAAGAAAGAGTGGGTGAGAGAGTGGTAGGGAGGAGGGAGACTGGGAGGAGGGGCGGACGGGAGAAGTGGAGGGAAAGAGAGAGAAAGTCGATTTTTGAGTCGACTCAAAAATTGAAAGAAAGAGTGGGTGAGAGAGTGGTAGGGAGGAGGGAGACTGGGAGGAGGGGCGGACGGGAGAAGTGGAGGGAAAGAGAGAGAAAGAGAGGAGGGAGGAATGGAGAGTGGAAGGGCGGACAGGAGAAGGCGAATTAGCGGACGAGAGAGGAAGTCGGGACGGCTTCCTGCCCCCGCCACCCCCACTCCCCTGCCCCGCCTCCCCCACTCCCCTGCCCCGCCTCCCCCACTCCCCTGCCCCGCCTCCCCCACTCCCCTGCCCCGCCTCCCCCACTCCCCTGCCCCGCCTCCCCCACTCCCCTGCCCCGCCTCCCCCACTCCCCTGCCACGCCTCCCCCACTCCCCTGCCACGCCCCCCCACTCCCCTGCCACGCCTCCCCCACTCCCCTGCCACGCCTCCCCCACTCCCCTGCCCCGCCTCCCCCACTCCCCTGCCCCGCCTCCCCCACTCCCCTGCCCCGCCTCCCCCACTCCCCTGCCCCGCCTCCCCCACTCCCCTGCCACGCCTCCCCCACTCCCCTGCCACGCCTCCCCCACTCCCCTGCCACGCCTCCCCCACTCCCCTGCCACGCCTCCCCCACTCCCCTGCCCCGCCCCCATTTCCCTTTGTGCACAGCGCTCCTCACTTCCCGCCTGCACGCGCTGCCCCGGCTGTGCGCCCAGCATTCTCCTCCAATGCTGCAGCAGCACCTGCCATGCGAGCGGGGTTGGTGAAAGAGAGAGGAGGAGGCTGGTTCAAGCTTGCTGTGCTGCCATAGGGTTGTGTGGGGCACAGCGTGAGGGGCAGGACGTGTGCACCGCGGAGCATGCTCCTCGCCTCGCACACCCAGGCAGTGGGGAAGGGAGAGTCAGAGAGAAGGAAAGAAGGGTGCAAGGGTGGGGGGAAGCGTGGGTGACTGTGGGAGGGAGTGTAAGGGAGAGTGGGAGGAAGCGAGGGCGACGGTGGGAGGAAGCGTAGGCGATGAGAAAGGAAGAGTGGGGGAAGGTGGGGGAAAGCGTGAGCGACGGTGGGGGGGAGCGTAAGCGACGGTGGGCGGAAGCGTGGGCGACGGTGGGGGGAAGCGTGGGCGACGGTGCGGGGAAGCGTGGGCGACGGTGGGGGGAAGCGTGGGCAACGGCGGGGTGAAGTGTGAGCGACAGTGGGAGGAAGCGTGGGCGACGGTGGGGGAAGCGTGGGCGACGGTGGGCGGAAGCGTGGGCGACGGTGAGGGGAAGCGTGGGCAACGGCGGGGTGAAGTGTGAGGGACAGTGGGAGGAAACGTGGGCGACGGTGGGCGGAAGCGTGGGCGACGGTGGGGGGGAGCGTGGGCGACGGTGGGGGGAAGCGTGGGCGACGGTGGGGGGAAGCGTGGGCGACGGTGGGGGGAAGCGTGGGCGACGGTGGGGGGAAGCGTGGGCGACGGTGGGGAAAGCGATCGGGGACGGTGGGGGGAAGCGTGGGCGACGGTGGGGGGAAGCGTGGGCGACGGTGAGGGGAAGCGATCGGGGACATAAAAGTGCCGCCGTTGTGGGACACGACGACGTCGACGAGGAAGCGATGGGAGGGGAAAAGGGCGGACGGAAACGTAGGGCGAATGCGCCCTACAACTGGAGCTGAGGGCGTCGGAATGGGGTCATGACGGCAAGCAGGACAGGAAGTCACTGCAGGGCGGCGGGTAGTTGACTACCATGGAGAGGAAGGTGATGCATGCGGCAAACTGGCGTTTTGCGCGGTCGCGCAGGGGTTCGACGACGATGCAGAGTAAAAGGCGGGGCCATCGCACAGAATCTAGATTTTTTTGTGAACTAAGCTATAGCTCTATTGGCTTTCTGTTCTACCTCTGCTGGTAAACTGGGAGTTCCTCGTACCATACGACCTGAATTACAAAAAAATCAAACTGTGCACAGCCGCAGCCGTTATCTCTTGTGGAGGGAGTGGTTGGGGCTCTCGCCAACCGAACCTGTGCTGCTCTACGACTCACTGTTTTTCTGCGGGAAGTCATCTGGTAACCGGAGAGGCTCGGGAGAAAAACTGTGGGCTCGGGAGGCAAACTGTGCACAGTTTGCCTTCCCTTTTTTGTAATTCAGGTCTTGGGCTTTAACGTCACGCACTACGCACCGAGCAAAGCTTCCTTGACGAACTACAGAACTTTCCAGCCGCCACTACGTTATACCGCACAAAACCGTTACATAACTTTCTGTCAACATTTTCACAAAAGTTGTAGGTATATTATTTCCACAATAACAAACACTTCACTGTGCCCCGCTCACTGTCGAAATATAGTCACAAACGCGGACGTACCGACCCCCACCAAACCCCTCACAACTTTCCCGAAGCAACAAGAGCTCCCAATCCCTCCCCTGCAGTTTGTTCTCGATTCCTTTTTTTCAGACGTCCAGGTGAAAGCCCATGGAATCCAGTGCTGAAAAGTCCCGATTTTTGTAAATATAAGTTTTCTTTTGATATACGTATATATAAGTGTCCCCCCGCCACGAAAATGGTCAAGAAGCGGAAGGCGAAGAATCAGGGCGGGGCTGGCGACATGGACATGGGGGACGCCGCCGCGCCTTCCGCCGTGACATTCTCCGCGGGAGCCGCTAAGGACGTCGCAGCCGTCGGATTCTCCGCCGATTCAGCCTCCGCGGGAGGCGCCGCTGCATCCGGCGAGGAGGCGGGAGTTCCTACCGCTAGCGGCAACGCCATGGGTAGGTGGAAGATCAGAAGAAAGAAACGACACGGGGAGGGACAACATAACATTGACGTTGGCTTAGGAGGAAGGCTCGAGGAAACCCTAAATCTTGGACGATGACTAGTCTCGTCGCTCTTCGTCTTCCTCCTCCCCTCTCCCACGCCCCCCATCCCCGTCCCCCTTTCCCCCATGCCGCCCCTCTGACTCGAGCGAGGCTGCCCATCAACAGCCAAACAAGTCACTCCCCTGTTCCTCTGTGCCCTTCCCCCCTCCCTCTCCCCCCCCACGCTTCCCCTCCTCTCCTCCCCCCTCTCTCCCCCCCCCCCCCCCCTCCTCCCAACTCTCTCCGCCACCCCTCCTCTCTCTCCTTGGCCTCCCGTTCTCCCCGTTTCCCTCCGCATCTCTCCTCCCCCCATTCCCCGCCCTTTCCCCTCAGACACCAGTGAGACGATGGGGTTCACAGTAATCAAGGCGTCGGCTGATGGGTTCACGATTAAGGCGCACAAGTCACCCCCTGTGTGCCCCACCCTTCCGCCCCCCCTTCCCCCTCCCCTTCCTCCTCCCTCTTCCCCCTTCCTCCCCTCCCCCTCCTCCGCCCCTCTCCTCCCTTTACTAGACACGAGTGAGACGATGGGGTTCACAGTGATCAAGGCGTCAGCTGATGCCGCTCACACCACACCCGCTCTACCAGGCATAAGGTGAGCCGCCCCAGTCAGTGTGAGACTTGTCAGAGCACTGCTGCTGCTCTGCCCGCATGTGTGGTCCGCTCTACCACATGCGATGGTATGATGCGATGGTGTGGTGGGTGACTTCTGAGCCGACTCAAAAGTCACACGGTGAGCCCCCCCCATGCGTGTACCCCAGTCTGAGCCTTCTCAGAGCACCGCTGCTGCTCTGCCCGCATGTGTGGTCCGCTCTACCACATGCGATGGCATGGTGGGCGCATGCACATGTGTGGATTGTGCATGTGTGGTCGGCAAAGCTAGTTCCGGCTTGATAACAACTCAAACCACACCCGCTCTGTTGTTCGATACCGGGTGAGCTGCCGCCATGTGCACGGGCCATTCTCTCTGCCACACTCTCTGCAAACACCACACCTGCTCTACCAGGCATAAGGTGAGCCGCCCGCCCCCCCCCGCATGCGCGTACCCCAGTCTGAGACTTGTCAGAGCACCGCTGCTGCTCTGCCCCCATGCGTGTACTACATGCTTTGGTGTGGTGAGCCGCCCCCATGCGTGTACTACATGCTCTGGTGTGGTGAGCCGCCCCCATGCGTGTACTACATGCTTTGGTGTGGTGAGCCGCCCCCATGCGTGTACTACATGCTCTGGTGTGGTGAGCCGCCCCCATGCGTGTACCCCAGTTTGAGTCTTCACAGAGCACCGCTGCTGCTCTGCCCGCATGTGTGGTCCGCCCCAACTCATGCGATGGTCTGGTGGGCGCGTGCACATGTGTGGATTGTGCATGTGTGGTCGGCAAAGCTAGTTCCGGCTTGATAACAACTCAAACCACACCCGCTCTGTTGTTCGATACCGGGTGAGCTGCCGCCATGTGCACGGGCCATTCTCTCTGCCACACTCTCTGCAAACAGAGCGCATGCTGTTCAGTTGTATGCCCCTTGTGCCCTTATTAATCACATGCTGTTCAGTTGTATGCCCCTTGTGCGCTTATCAACCACATGCTCCTCAACCCACCTTCACTCACACTGACATACATCAACCGCCTCCTGCTAGTTTAAGTGCGTTAGGTATATCACTTTTATACCCAGTCATATGCAATCTCATTTGCTGAATTAACTGTCTGAATTCCAACCAATGCCGACACGCCACCTGGCAGGAAGAAGGGGGCTCCGGAGCGACGAGCCAAGTCGAGGAGGAAGCAGAAGCTGCTTGATAAGGCCCTTGCGATACGAGAGAAGACGGAGACCAAGGCACAGAAGCATGCTGCCAAGAAAGCACGCGTGCAGACACTCAAGAAGCTGTACTAGGAGGAGATTGGCCGTGTTTGTGCGCCTATAAAATAGACTGAAGAAGCTTCTCCAGGAAGGAAATGTTTCCAGGCAGGTACCCAGGCTGGTTCTCAGTAGTCGATCTGAAGCCGATCTAGCAGCAGGCTGTTGAGAACACTGTTTGAAAACATCCAGAGAGAAGACGAAGACTGTTTGAGGTGACGGGTATGCGTCGAAAAATACTTATTTTCTAGCTACATGATGTTCCACACCTCCCTACTGAATGTAGCGCTTACAGCTAAGCATCCTACAGTGCTGCAGTCACACGAATGATACTGGTATACGGCAACCTACATACAGTTTTGAATAAACATTCAACTGTACCCGAAGTACATTCAGACGCTAATGGAAGATACAGTCAGCAGCACCACTCTTCACCACCATTCAAAGTTCTCCAATCCTATACATCTTCTCCCATCACCATCTCCCTTCCAGTCACCGCCTCCCTTCCAAAAGCCCCGTCTTTTCGAGTCTAGCGAGGAGCGCCCCCACCGCCAGCAGGGGCAGCGGTCTGGGGAGCCCCCGGACGGCCACCCCTCCCTCCCAACACACCCAAACACGGACCCCCCTCCATCCCAGTCACCTCCTCTCCTCCTGTCTAGCGAGGAGCGCCCCCACCGCCAGCAGGAGCAGCAGTCTGGGGACGGCCACCCCTCGTGCGCGAGGCCTTGGCCTGCATCATCATCTCATCGTAGTTCTGGTGGGAGGGGGGGGGGGAGAAGGGGAGCGGGGTGGAGGGTTGATATACATAGCAAAGCGAGAGTCAACAACTCACGGCCCACCCTCTTTGGCTTGCATCATCAGCTCATCGTAGTTCTGACGGGTGGAGGGGAGGGTGGGGGTGGGGGAGGAGGTACGGGGGAGGGGTTATGTACATTAGAGGGAGGGTCAAAGAGTCATGGCCCGCCCTTGCCTGCATAGCCTTGGCTTGCATCATCAGCACATCATAGTTCTGATGGATAGAAATGAGAGAGGAGGTGATGTAAATTAGAGCTCAACGACCCACAGTCAGCCCTGCCTCCTGCTGCGACGTGCACACCCCAACCATGCCTGGGGCCTGGACTGTACCGCACCGCACTGCACTGCATTGCACTCAACCATCTTGACTTGCCCACCTTCTTCTCCATCTGCACGCTACGCGGAAAATGATTTTGTCACACACGTCATAGTCTATGGCCCCCTGGTGTGACGTGCATGCCCAACCACGCACCGCATCACACTGTACTGCACTGCACCGCATTGCACTGCACAGTACCGCACTCACCTTCTTCTCCATCTGCACGCCGCGCGACTCAATGATCTTATCACACACGCCATAGTCAATGGCCTCCTGCTGTGCCATGCACACCTCAACCCCACCTTGGGCTTTGACAGCACTGCACTGCACCGCACTGAACCTCACTATATTGCACAGCACTCACCTTCTTCTCCATCTGCACGCCGCGCGACTTGATGATCTTATCGCACACGCCATAGTCTATGGCCTCCTGGCCGCGCAGGTACTTGGGGCGCATGATATCATGATACAGCTCATCCCTCGACTTGCCCGTGCCGCGTGCCAACAGCTCAATGTAGTAATCCGTGTTGGCGTCAAGCTCCTTGGCCTGGATGGGAGGAGAGAGGGTTGAGAAGCAGGTATGAGAGCTGACTTGCCCGTACCCCGTGCCAGCAGCTCAATGTAATAATCCGTGTTGGCATCAAGCTCCTTGGCCTGCATGGGAGGAGAGAGGGAGGAGGAGGGAGTGAGAGCTAGTTGCCCGAGCCGCGTGCCAGCAGCTCGATGTAATAGTCCGTGTTGGCGTCAAGTTCCTTGGCCTGCATGGGAGGACGGCAAAGGGGGGGAAGCAACATGAGTCCTCTGGAAGTGCAGGTACTTGGGGCGCATGATATCATGATACAGCTCATCCCGTGACTTGCCCGTGCCGCGAGCCAGCAGCTCAATGTAGTAATCCGTGTTGGCGTCAAGCTCCTTGGCCTGGATGGGAGGAGAGAGTTGTAGTGGGGACGAGGGAGGGGGAAGCAGCAGCGAGAGGTGAGCTGCCCATGCATTGCACTAAGCACTCGATGTAGGAATCCGTGTTGGCATCAAGCTCCTCGTGTAGTGAGTCGATTTTTGAGTCGACTCAGAAATCGATGTAGTAATCCGTGTTGGCGTCAAGCTCCCTGGCCTGGATGGGAGGACGGCAGGGGGCCGTTCAGGGGAAGTAACAGAAGAAGGCTTTTACGACTGATCAAACTGAAAAAAAAACAACTTTCTTTTTGAGGGGGAGGCAGCCATGCGGGAAGTCATCAGTAAAAGCTAGCTCACGACTTGCAAAACTCAACACCTCACCTTGATCCACATGTCAATGGCGGCTCCGCTTGATTGGCTGGCTCTGGGTGCATAGAGCTTGGCTGTTGGGAGTCATAAGGTTGCACACACACATGCACACGCACAGGACACACATGCACCCATGCACCGCACACACATGCACACGCACAGGACACACGCACACATGGACACACATGCACCCACGCACCGCACACACACCCAAAGCAACATAGAATTAGGCTGTGCATTGCACGATCATAGCAGTGAAAAGGAAGCAGGCATTCAGTGCTCCCAGGCAAAGTTGGGAGAAGGAGAAAGGAAGCAAAATGCACTCCGCATTGGCCGGCACTCACTGACGGCGTTGGGCTGCACGGCCCTGTGGCCCTTGTCCCCTATGGCCAGCAGCATGGCCGCTAAGGCACACAGTAAAGAAAACACTCTAAACAACACACGTCTAGTCTAGCACGAGGCGGGAAGAAGAAGGGCACTCACTGACGGCGTTGGGCTGCACGGCGCGGTGGCCCTTGTCCCCAATCGCCAGCAGCATGGCAGCCTGTCCGAACGCCTGCCCGCAGTTCACCGTGTAGACCTTGGACTTGATGTACTGCGATGGGGCGACAAAGGGGGCGGGGGGGGGGAGGAGGGACAGGGGAGGGGTCCCATGAGGGAGTAAGAACGGAGAGGACAGACGAGGAGCAATGAGCCACTCCCTATGAGGCTTATGCCTGTCCGAACGCCTGCCCGCAGTTCACCGTGTAGACCTTGGACTTCACGTACTGTGTGTGATGGGGCAGATGGGGGACGGGGGCGGAAACAGGGGAGGGGTCCCGACAGGGAGTAAGAATGAATGGGGCAGAAGGGGAGAAACGAGCCAGGCCCTCGGTGGCTTATGCCTGTCCAAACGCCTGCCCGCAGTTGACCGTGTAGACCTTGGACTTCACGTAATGTGATGGGGCGACAAAGGGGGAGGGTGGGGTGTGGTATGGAGGGAGTCTGAATATCACTCAAATGCACAAATATATCAAGTGCAAATCACCGTGTAGACTGAACAAGCACATCACACACGGGAGCCACATTGGTTTCACACTCACGTTCATGGTATCAGTGATGGCATATGCCTCGGTCTCAAACCCCACGCTCTCGCGCTTGTCAATGGCACCTTAAAGTCAACTCACAAACAATGCCCCCCACCCAGCGCTCACATTCATGGTATCAGCAATGGCGTATGCTTCTGTTTCGAACCCCACGCTCTCGCGCTTGTCCTCCGTACTCTTGGCTCGACTGAAAAGGCAAAACCTTACACTATCACAATACATGACCCCCACCACCCAGCGCTCACGTTCATGGTATCGGCAATGGCATACGCCTCGGTTTCAAACCCCACGCTCTCGCGCTTGTCGTTCTGCGTGCCGGAGGAGTTGATGTAGAAGTAGATGGGTTTGGATGGGTTGTCGTAGTCCAGCCACAGCAGCTCCGCCACTATCAGCTCTGTGACGGCTGGGACGATCTGCAAGGGGGGAAAGGGAGGTTGGAAGGGTGGAGAGTGGTATGGAGGATATAAAAAGATTGTGGATCGGTTTAAAGGGGTTGTCGTAGTCCAGCAACAGCAGCTCTGCCACTATCCACTATCAGCTCTGTCACTGCTGGGACGATCTGGAGAGATGAGATGAATGAGGGATGAAGAGAGGTATGAAGGAGAAAGAAGGCGCGTAAAAGGGTATGGAGGGGTTGGAACCCACGCACCCACCCACCCACCCACCCACCCACCTAACCATACCCGTCCACCCGTCCATCCATCCATCCACTCACGGGCATGCCCAGGTAGCAGATACGAGCGTCCAGCAGCAGCGACGGCAGGTCGGGCGGCGCAGAGAGGCTTAGAGAGGTTCTGGTGGTGTGTATTGCTGCAACACACCCACGGTTTACACCCAGCACTCACGGGCATGCCCAGGTAGCAGATGCGCGCGTCCAGCAGCAGCGACGGCAGGTCGGGCGAGGCGAACCCAGGCAGCAGCACATGCAATCGTTCATGCTCACCCTGGGTTGAAGGTTCCTTACACATCATATACTCTCAGAAACGCCCACAGCTGAAACTACCATCCCACTCACGGGCATGCCCAGGTAGCAGATGCGCGCGTCCAGCAGCAGCGACGGCAGGTCGGGCGGCGCGGTCTTGGGGCGGCCGTTGCCGCCCAGCCCGCGGTACATGCTGACGCTCATGCTCAGCCGCGCCGCGGAGTTCTCTAGGCCCGGCAGCGACCACATGCCCGTGCCGTTGCGGTAGTGCGCCGCGGACGAGATGCTCGCCTGGGGAAAAGGGGAGGATTGGGGGAGAGGAGGATTGAAGGGAGAGAGCGAGATGGGTTCAGAGGTGACTCAGAAGCGGAGTTCTCTAGGCCCGGCATGGACCACATGCCCGTGCCGTTGCCGTAGTGCGCCGCGGATGAGATGCTCGCCTGGGCGGAAAGGGAAGGGAAAAGAAGAAGGGGGGGGGGGGGGGAGTGGGGGAAGGAGGAGAGGGGCGGAAAGGGGAACGAAAGGGGAACGGAAAGAAGAAGTGAGGGGAGAGAGATTGGAGCGGGCGGGGGGGCGATGTGACCAGCGGTGACCGGAGCAGATGAGTGGCAGATAGGATGCTAACCTGAAAACTCCCAAACATACAAACTCGCACACACACTCACACATACACACACGTACCTCGGTAACGGATTGCGATATCCGCGATACAGGGCTGTCCTCCGTCATGAGCATGCTCATCTGCGTGGAGTTCAAGCCATACAGCGACGCCGGCACGTTGCGAAAATTCTCCATCACTGCCGTCCGCGCAAGGAGTAACAACCGGAGCAAAGGGCAGAGGAAATAGCGGAGCGAAGATGGGGACGAAGTTAAGGGCAATAGTGTAGAGCGGGACGATGGACACAGACAGCTTTTGAGTCGACCCATGAGTCGGCTCATGAGTCGACAGCAGTGATGCGGCTTAGCACGCAGCGGGCATTCTCCATCACTGCCTTCGAAGCAGAACTTCGTTATAAGGTGATGTCATAAGGCTATATAACGTCAGAGTGGATGTGTGGGGGATGTGTTGTCACTTTTCCGGATTGTAAATCCTCGCTACCGCTTTAGATCGTATGATACCGCGCAGAAACGTTCTATGACGCCCTTGGATGACGGCAAATCCCGATCATTTGCACCATGGCCTAGCGATTAGAATGACACTATCCCTAAAGCAACGGTCTAGCTTCAAGAACATTTAAAATCATGCCTGTACCACTTCCGCACTCGACGATTCTCAATAAACAACTGCTCAGGTGCCGTAGGTAAACTTAACCGTCCATCTTTCACACCCGTGATCGCATATACCCGGATTCTTCTCAAAACTACCGAGCTAATCTTCCCAGGTGAAGGCACATCGAGTCATCCCCGTTACAAGCACGTCCAGTTGTAAGTACCATAGCACGAGAACACGTACATCCTTCCTTCAAGTGCCTCTCCTGAAACTGCTTCGGGACGTCCCTCATCGCAGCGCGTGCGACACCTCTCGCGACACGCTCGCGACCTTCGCAGCTCCGCTGCAAAATCGCAAGCCTCTGACCCTGGAGCAGCGACCCCTGAGAGAACCCCACGCGGCCAGCCGATGCACGCGAGTCGGAACGGAGCGACGCGGCAGGCGACGCGACAGGCGTCCTGACGGCGCCTGACACCCCTAAGGCGGCCATATCGCGGCGACTAACCAACAACAAGGGTATTGAGGTTGCGTCTGCAATAAAATCAGGAGCGGTTACGACGATCAGGGAGAGGTCGAAGAGGAGGGACTGAACGTTCACTTGGAGGCAGAGAAACTCGACATCAAGGTGGAATAAGGCCGTGAAAGGGAAAAGGCTGGAGGATACTAAATATTAGGGTTGCGGTTCCAGGGGGGTGGTACATCCATGGTCACCGAAGTTGTAATTTTGAAGAGATTGTAAACGGTTTCCTGTGTTTTAGAAAGGTATGCAACGGTTCGTGCCACAGCAGAGGTAATCCCCACGGGCTGGATTGGTGGGACGCGGAGAGGGACTCGGGGGGAAGCTGGGATGGGGGGCGAAACGACGTTTGCGAAGCAAGATGGGAGAAGATCGATGGCCGAGATTACGCTTCACATTCTCGAGAAGCACGAGATAACTGCCACGTCGCCGTCTCTCCTTCGATACATCCCGCTACAATTGTCTAGCCAAGTTATCCGTGTATGCACATATTGCTAGAGGTCAGCAGAAATCAGTTAACTAGATTAGTTAACCAAGGTTATCTAAAACTGCTTACCAAGCTCCACCTTCTTTAACATGCTAAGTGCATTGTGGAACATTCCATCAATTATGCCAGCAACCTGCAACCAAAGGAAACAATAGTCAGAAACGTGTAAGAAGCCGACAACATGCAATGCAACACCAACCATGTGAGCGACCATGATAGGCAAGGAGAGTGCATGTGAAACTAGGATACACACCGTGAAGACACCACCAATGATAGCACAGAGGTTCGTGATGAAGTGGAAGAAAGGACGCCTTGTCTCCACAATGAGAACCTGCAAGGGGAAGGGAGGCAACACGACTAGCAATGGTCAGACAGTTGGTTCAGCTACTGCAACACTGACCTGCCTGTAAGAATGCGTGTGTCTGGAACAAAAATACTGCCCGTAGGAATGCCATCAAATCTAAAGCACAAATAGAAACAGCACATTACTAACCTGCATGGGCGAGAGCTCATAGTGGAAGCGCGAGACGGGCACGGAGGGCGCCTGCAGCGTGTGGCTGTGCGCGGTGTAGTCATATGAGTGCAGCGAGCTTTCCTTGCGGGATACTCCCAAGGGATGCACCTCCGTCAACACTATCTGCATAAAGTGCTCGTGCTGTGGGGGAAGAGAGTAAGGGGGGAGAGAGTGGGGGGAGAATGGGAAGAGGAGGGGGGGTTGTGAACAAGGGTTGGATGGGTGAGGGCAAGTGAGAGTGGGAAGAAGATAGAAGAGGATGCACACTCTGTGAGCACATCTCCATGAAGTGTTAAAGTGACACACTGACACCAGCATACAACCCCATCTCAGTAACACTACACTATCGTTCCACTTACAATTACAACTAAACACCATCACGCATCCCCACTCACAGTCACATTGTCATGGTTGGAGTGAAACGAGTGCCCTTCGAGACACCCCACAGGCGCAGGCACATAGGGGCGCAGGCGCGCCACCAGCTCCTGCTTGCGGCGGGTGAGCTGGCGACCCCCTCTCAGTGACACACTGACACCACTCTACATCCCCCCCCACCCCACTTACAGTCACGTTGTCATGGTTGGAGTGGAAGGAATGCCCTTCCAGCCGCCCCACAGGGGCGGGTACATAAGGACGCAGCCGCGCCACCAGCTCCTGCTTGCGGCGGGTGAGCTGGCGGCCGAAGGAGAAGCGGTGAATGGAGTGCGTCATGTTCATCGTTGCGGCGTCAAACGAGTGCGCCGTGGAGTGAGCCGTTATCATCAGATTCCCCGGCACCTGTGCGTGGGGTGTGGGGAGGGGAGAGGAGATGAGGAGAAGCGGCAGATGGAGTGGGTCATGTTCATGGTGGCCGCGTCAAACGAGTGCGCCGTTATCATCAGATTGCCCGGGACCTGTGCGTGACGTGGTGAGACCGAGGAAGGTGGAGAGGGGAGGGGAGGTGAGATGGGGAGAGGGTGGGAAGTGGGAAGCGGCGAGGGCGCGGAGAGAGTGGGGAGGAGGAATGAGCTGGCAGCCAAAGGAGAGGCGGTGGATAGAGCGGAATTCCATTGAGAAAGTGACTTGTGCATCACTTTAGACATCAGCTCACCTTCTTGACGAGCACAAAGCCCTCGATGTTGCACCCGCCAGAGGCAGGAGCGCGGCGCTTGACGTGCTGGTGGCTGTCCTCCGCTGCTGTGGGACGCCCCACCGTGGCCGATGGCACCAGTGACTCCGCGAACTGAGAGGCAGGGGGAGGGGAGAAGAGGGAAGGTTGTTGTTGAAGGAAGAGCTTCCCCTTCAGCACTTATCGCTTGACGTGCTGATGGCTGTCCTCCGCTGCTGTAGGACGCCCCACCGTGGCTGATGGCACCAGCGACTCCGCGAACTGAGGGCAAGGGAGGCGGGAAAAAGGGGTTGTTGTTAAACGAGCTTCATCGGCGTGTATCACTTGACGTGCTGATGGCTGTCCTCCGCTGCTGTAGGGCGCCCCACCGTGGCCGATGGCACCAGGGACTCGGCAAACTGAGGTGGTTGGGGATCGCAGGAGGGATAGGAGGAGGGAGCGCAGGGGGGATGGGCGGTAATTTACTGGAAGAGAAACATAGGTGGCGCAGTGCAGAGGATTGGAACTACACACCAAGTGGAAGAAAGGAAAACATACAGAGGGGGTGGGTGGTCACAGGCAACAGCACAGGAGGCTCCAGTGATGTTGGGGAAGCATACAAGCGAGGAGATGGACAAAAGAGGCATGGAGGGAAAGGGAAACATACCGCAACAAGTGACTCGGCATCTCGCTCGCCATAGTACGACTCGTGGTCATGCTCCCCGTGCTCTCCATGCATGCTGTGCACGCATCATCACATGCACCATGCCACGGAGAAAAAAAACTGTAAGGCTCAGTCAACTCGAAAGATGTAGTATGACTCATGGTCATGCTCCCCATGCTCCCCATGCTCCCCATGCTCCCCATGCTCTCCATGCATGCTGCACAGTGCGCATTAGATGCCATGCCACAGGGAAAAACAACAGATCATGCACATAAGTTATACAGTGCCTCAACAAGGCTCATAAGCCATGCTTGCTCCCCATGCACGCTAGGCGGGTCAGCCTGGCACAATGGTCAACCTACCCATAGGCCCCTTTGGCGCATGCACTCACTGCAGGTATGTGTCCGTGCACCTCGTTTGCTTCACAGTAAGAAGCACAAGGAGGTTACGCTACTGTAAAGCCGCTTTTGCTGCGTGCACTCACCGCATGTCCATGCCCTTGCGGTAGATCCGGATGGACGGGAAGCCCTGAATGTGATTGCTGCAGTGAAAGGGGAGGGGGGACGACAGAAGGCATGAGAGTGACGCATTTGGGATCACAGGAGATGCTTAGGAAACATTGTACATTCAGCAGCTTTTAGAAAAAAAAAGGCAACCGATGCTAACGGGGAGGCACACACGGCTCTAATGGCTCTGTGGAGGAGTAAAAGGGACTCACTCTCGGCACACGTCCTGGTAGATGGTGCAGTCGATCTTGGCGAAGCGAATGCGACCATCGTAATCGGGATGGTACCTGACGTAGAGAGAGGAGATAGAAGAGAGAAGCGAGAGAAGAGGAGAGGGGGGAAGGGGGAAGGGAGAGAAGATAATGAGAAGAGGGGGTGAGAGAGGAGAACAAGGGAAGCGAGGAAAATGCATGGACAAAGAGTGACACGAGGAGTCATACGCATGAACAGATGCGCGATGTGAGTGGGCAGGATAGTGAGTCCCTGCAGGCCGTACGCGGTACAAGAGGAGACTCCCCTACTGTCAATAGCTGGCAGAGTACCCTTTGACGACACGTCTCAGAGGGCAATGAGCCAGGTAGAGGAGAAACAAGGTGACTTCTCTCAAAGGACTTACTTGCGATTGAGGACAGTGGCAGCCTTCTCCCATGCAGGCTCCTGCAGGCGACACAGGAGGAGACGAGTGGATGGTTAGATTCATGTGGAGGGTGGGCGTGGGACGCGGCGAGGGGGTGGGCAGAGGCAGCACGGCTTCCAGTGCAAACAAGACAGTACTGAAAACTTGGTGACCCCCCGCCCCCCCCCCCCCCCACGACTGTCAAGCGAGGATATGCTGCAGCACTCTCACCAGTCTCTGGCACCAGGGGCACCAGGGGGCGAAGAAGTTGACCACGAGGATCTGGTACCTGCTCAGGGGGTGGGCAGCGGACACATGGGAGGAATTTTTAGGCGCCTCAGAAATCGTCTCACTTCACAAGAGTAACAGGGGCACCAAGGGGCGAAGAAGGTCACCACGAGGATTTGGTACCTGCTCAGGGGAAGCATAGCGGACACATGGGATGGGGGAGACCGCTATGTGCGGACCACGTAACAGCAACACAGCAGCATAAGTAATCTATACACACAGCGCAAACAGCCCAGCACTCAGGAGGACATAATGCTACAAATCCTGATGGGCGAAGTTCCAATTCAGCCACAGCCGCACAGCACCACTCACTCGTGGGCGAAGTGTTCGAAGTTGTCCTTGTTGAGCATGAGTGAGCCCACATACTCATGGCCGCCTCCGCCATCTTCCAGTTTTGAAACGTCTTACAACAGCCCAGCAGCACAGCACCAATCACTCATATGCGAGGTGCCAGCCCAACCAATCGCACGGCACCACTCCCAACCGCACCACTCACTCGTGAGCAAAGTGTTCGAAGTTGTCCTTGTTGAGCACGAGTGAGCCCACATACTCATGCCCGTCCTCCGCCATCTTCTGGTGCACCTCCTCCGTCGTCTCGTTGCTGTCCTCCCCGTGCTTCTCCGGCACGGGCAGCGGGTCCGGGTGGTGCTCCGGCCCCACCCAGTTGCCCGCCGCGTCGATGGGATACTTGCGGACAGTCTTGCTCAGGTTGTATCGCGCCTACGGGTGGGGGATGGGGGAGATGAGGGGGGGGTGGGAGGGGGAATGAGAGACGCCCTGTCCGGGACGGGCAGCGGGTCCGGGTGGTGCTCCGGCCCCACCCAGTTGCCCGCCGCATCGATCGGGTACTTGCGCACCGTCTTGCTCAGGTTGTACCGCGCCTGCCGGTGGGGGATGTGGGAGATGAGGGAGTGGGGGAGGGGGGGGAAGGGGCATGAGAGACGCCTCTCCGGCACGGGCAGCGGGTCCGAATGGTGCTCTGGGCCCACCCAGTTGCCTGCCGCGTCGATCGGATACTTGCGCACCGTCTTGCTCAGGTTGTACCGCGCCTAAGGGGATGGAGGGGATGGGGGAGATTGGGGGGGAGAGGGGTGAGGGGAGGGGGGAAGGAGCGGGATGAGGTGGGAAGGGGGAGTCGGAGATGCGTTGATGGGCTACTTGGGGGCGGTCTTGCTCAGGTTAAACCGCGCCTGGGCGGATGTGAGGCAGGAGGAATACGACGAGGCGTGACGAGGGGGATACTATTGCAAATGTGTGCAGGGCTCTCCCAAGACGGTATTGCGGTGTTTGGAATGAGCGATGTGGCGCTGTATGCGCGTGCCAGTGATGGTGCATCGCCGAATGAGCACCTTGATGAACATTGCAGGATGGCACTCGTGCAACTGACCAGATTCAGGCGAATTCACGGCGGAGTGAACATACATTCAGAGAAGATTCCAAACGGTATGAGAGCGTGAGAGCGGATTCAGGGCGGACTCAGGGCGGATTCAGGGCGGATTCAGAGCGAATTCAGGCCTTACAGTTCCGAGCACGTCGGTGACGTCGACTGACGCGAACTCACACGACAGCGCTGGGAAACTGCACGGGGACAGAATAGAAAACAGTTTCACGAATGGCAAAATCCACTGACAAATAAAAGAAAACGCGGTGACTGATTCGATACTGGTCGGTGAGTATACATGTGGAAATTCGGCATGTGACATAGAGGCAGCAGCGTTAGGCAGTGATCGCTGACCAGCCTCACCTGAAGTTGAAGTTTATCCGAAGCAGCTCGCCGTTTTGGCTCTGATCGACGATGACTTGCGTCGTGGTGGAGACTTTAAGAAAGCTGTTAAGCTCCTGAAAGGCAGAGAAGGTGAACGACAAAGGCCGGAAAACGTCTCTTGAGTGGAAAGCGAAGGTGAAAGCGGAAATATTAGCACGAAGGAAAAGGAGGAACGAGCTTAAGCTGCTGTCCAGTCTCCAGCTAGACTTAGTCAGCTCAGTCAAGAGAGAAATAGAAGCACGAAGCGACGTGGTTTCGAAGTCGTACCGCGACAAAGAGGAAGATCATGGTCGTCGCGGCTACGATCGAGAGACTCGCACCGGAGAACGAAGCCTCAGTGAGATCCCGAGGGATCTTCCTGCGAAAATGCAAGACGATAATATATAAAAAAGAAGCCTTCCTTAAGGTGAGAAAAATAGAGGATCCACCACGGCCGACTCGACATTGGCACACGATTGGTGACTACTGCCGTCATTGTCTCCGCTTCTACTCGCACCTGTAGAAATCTAACGCCTTGAGCTTCGCAAAGGTCGACATGGCTGCAGCACGTCGACGAAAACCGCAATGCTCCGGTCCGGGATGTAAAGCGGCGATAATATGCCGGCTGCCCGAGCACCTACACTACTGGATCGCCTAGATCCAACGAGACCGCTGCAAGCACAGGAAGTATGTTCCGAAGTTGCGGAGGAACTAATTTACGGCATGGGAGGGAGACTGGAGATTGGACTGACTGATGGAAGAAATCTCGGTGTAGAGAAACCTCGGAGTTGGTTTGTTCTATTGCAGGGAGCTCGTGTGTTTTTCAGATGCGATACAAGAGAAAATGAAGTTGAACGGTTAGAAGCGGAAACAAGAATGTACCTTGTAACGAGGACACCATGTTTTTTTGGCAGCAGAACAACCAGCCTGATATGCTCCTTGAGTTTGTCCTATGCTCACACCGTCAGCCGCCGCTCCACCGCATTTGCTTGTTCGATTGAAAGCATCAATATCAGAAGCTGACGATGGTCCAGTGAATAGCAATGCAAAGGCACGTCACAGAGCCTGAATAGCAGTGCAATAGCTGAAGAAACCATCCTAAATCCGCGAGCCTGAACCGCGCTTCAGAGATTTCTGGTAGCTGGATTTGTTGCGTGCGCTTTACGCCACTTTGAGATTAGCTTTTTTCTCTACCTCCCGCACGTGGCGTCCTCGAAGCAATCCCGAGGCGCCGTAACGCCCACATTTGACGCTTACACGGCCGTAGAGACGATTAGGAAGGCGATTAAGGACCGAGAAAGCGAGGACGGGAAGTGGAGGAAGGGAGAGGGTAAGAACGAGGGTCTTGATCGAGGCGGATTTGAAAAAGGGAGAAGCAAGAGGAGGCAAAAAGGGGAGGAGAAGGGGACAGGGGAGGAGAGGAAGGGGAAGAGGGGCGACGAGAAAGGGAAGCGGGGATGGCGCAGCAGGGAGGGGCCGGGCGGGGGGGAGGGCGCGGACCACCGCTGCAAGCGGGGGGAGGGCGCGGGGGAGGCGGAAGGGGAGGCGGACCGCAGCAAGCAGGCGGAACGGATCCCACGCCTGCTGCAATCACGTTCACTAAGGACCCCGTGATGGAAGACAAACGACCAAGGAAGATGTGAGTGGGGGAGGGAGGGGAGGGCGAAGAGTTGGCGAACAGTGGGCGAACAGTGGGAAGGGAAGGCACACGATCGCGCCTGCTGCGATCACGTTTACTAAGGAGCCGGTGATGGAAGACAAACGGCCAAGGAAGATGTGAGTGGAGGGGAAGGGGGAAGGGGGGTGGGTGGGTGGGTGCATGAAGAGGGAATCTGAGATCCCCGTAAGCAACCTGTCTCTTTCTGTGCCCATCACTCTCCCACCTTCTCCCCCATTCTTTTGAGTCTTTGGTTCAGTATGATGAGTGCACATGAGATGAGAGATTGAGGAGGAGAGTGCATGTTGGCTTCGTTTGACTTTTGAGTCGACTCAAAAGTCACCTCATCACTCTCCCACCTTCTCCCCCATTCTTTTGAGTCTTTGGTTCAGTATGATGAGTGCACATGAGAGATTGAGGAGAGTGCATGTTGGCTTGGCTCCGTTTCACCCCTCGCCCTTTCTCAAATTCACCCTCCGTTTTCATCCACCCTAACCCCTGGCAGCAAGAGTGTGCGGTTCAGCACAATGAGTGCGCACGAGATAATGAAGAGTGCGGAGGTGCAGATATCGGAGAGGAGTCTGTACCAGCTGCCAGAGCGCAAGCCCACGCCCTTCGGTGTGCTGGACCCTCGCCTGGTGAGTCAGTTTGAGTGTGCTGTGCTGTGCTTGATACAAGGTGGTGAGTGCTGGCGAGATAATGAAGAGTGCGGAGGTGCAGATATCGGAGAGGAGTCTGTACCAGCTGCCAGAGCGCAAGCCCACGCCCTTCGGGGTGCTGGACCCTCGCCTCGTGAGTCTGTGTGCTGCGCTTTGTTGACCCTCGCCTGGTGAGTGAGTGCTTCAAGGCTCGTGCGTGTGCGATGCTGCTCACTCACGAGCCTCTGATCAGCCTTTGATTCAAGACTGGAGAGCGTGCTTGAGTTGCCAGGAGTTTGTTCTGAGAAGAGATACAACAACACTGGGTGCCCCTTTTCCCTTTGTCTCAAGAAACAATTCCACGTGCGATTGTGTCACCCGTTGTTTCTGCACACAAACAGGGGACGACGAGCAAGAAGGGCGAGTGCTCAACCTGTAACGGCACGCTGCAGGACTGTGCGGGGCACTTTGGGTACATTCGCCTGGAGCTGCCGGTGTACCACATGGGGTACTTCAAAGTCATCCTCCTCATCATGCAGTGCATCTGCAAGGTAGGTGGGGAGTTTCCACTGGGGACCAGCTATGACCGGTACTGCCAGTGCTAGGTGCTTGGCATTGCTGCAGCAAGCAGGGCACTTTGGGTACATTCGCCTGGAGCTGCCTGTGTACCACATGGGGTACTTTAAAGTCATCCTCCTCATCATGCAGTGCATCTGTAAGGTAGGTGGGACTGGGTATGACCGGTACTAGTAGGTTCTTGGTGGTATGGTAATACAGCAGCAAGTGGGGCACTTTGGGTACATCCGCTTGGAGCTGCCTGTGTACCACATGGGGTACTTCAAAGTCATTCTGCTCATCATGCAATGCATCTGCAAGGTAGGTGGCACTGGGGGATGATGAAATGCATGTGTATTGCATCGCATGGATTACACCTACTGTTCAGCTGCCTGTGTACCACATGGGGTACTTCAAAGTCATTCTGCTCATCATGCAATGCATCTGCAAGGTAGGTGGCACTGGGGGATGATGAAATGCATGTGTATTGCATCGCATGGATTACACCTACTGTTCAGCTGCCTGTGTACCACATGGGGTACTTCAAAGTCATTCTGCTCATCATGCAATGCATCTGCAAGGTAGGTGGCGCTGGGGGATGATGAAATGCATGTGTATTGCATCGCATGGATTACACCTACTGTTTAGCTGCCTGTGTACCACATGGGGTCCTTCAAAGTCATTCTCCTCATCATGCAATGCATCTGTAAGGTAACTTGGTGATCGGCTATGGTGAAATGCATACTTTTTTGTCTTGCTCCACCAATGTTTCAGCTGCCTGTCCACACCGCATCACACCACATTAAAACCCACCCCACCCCCCACCCCACCACACTCCACCACACCACTCCACCACACCACACCACACCACACCACACCACACCACACTGCACCGCACCTCACCACACCCCACTTCTCAGAACTGTGGGCGCATTCTGCTGAGCGATGAGGAGCGGCGGCAGTGGCTGAAGAAGTTCCGGCACCCGCGGGTGGAGGTGCTGCAGAAGAAGGCCATGGTGAAGCGCGTTTCAGAGCGGTGCAAGCGCACCAGGATGTGCCACTACTGCGGAGACCACAACGGTGAGTTGATTGGGTTTCTGTGCGTGAGGACTGGGTTTCAGTTCCGTGCGTGAGGCTTGGGTTTGCTGCGTGTGCCGTGAGGCGAGGCCTGGAGGTGGTGAGGCGCATGGAGGCTCACAGCAGCAGCAGCAGCAGCAGCAGCAGCAGCAGCAGCAGCAGCAGCATCCACATAAACCAGAAACTTTGAACCCTGAACCCTGTACCCCATCCTTTTCCGCCTTGCAGGCACGGTGAAGAAGCTGACTGGCACGCTGAAGCTCTCTCACGACAAGTACGGCAAGGATATGGACGCCAAGGACGATGTGGTGAGGCGCATGGAGGCACACTGCAGCAGCAGCAGCAGCAGCAGCAGCAGCAGCAGCAGCAGGAGCCATATAAACCAGAAGCCCCAAACCCTGGACCCTGAACCCCGAACCCTGAACCCCATCCTTTCATGCATCGCAGGCACGGTGAAGAAGCTAACGGAAACACTCAAGCTATCCCATGACAAGTACGGCAAGAACATGGACGCCAAGGACGAGGCGATGGCAGTGCACGGTTGTCAGTCGGCACGAGATGGATCCCCGGAACCATAAACCCCTGTTGAACCCCGTGTCTTACAGGCAGCGTGAAGAAGCTAACGGGAACACTCAAGCTATCCCATGACAAGTACGGCAAGGATATGGACGCCAAGGACGATGTGGTGCGGCGCATGGAGGCAGCGGTGGAGGCGAACAAGGAGATAGCGCAGCACTCGAGCAAGGTGGCGGATGACCTCAACCCCGTGAGGGTGCTGTGGCTCATGGAGCGCATGCTGGATGAGGTGAGGACTGTGGTCAGGGGTCTTCTTGAGCTTGAGCCGTTCCCTAGAGTATGAGTCGCCGCGCAGCACTCGAGCAAGGTGGCGGATGACCTCAACCCCGTCAGGGTGCTGTGGCTCATGGAACGCATGCTGGATGAGGTACGGGATTTGAGACGCCTCAGAACGTTTGATTAATATGAAGGGTCTCGTTAAGCGAATTGCTCTGCTCTACCCTGCCTGCCCTGCTCTGCCTCACATCCCCTCATCGCCCCTCTTCCTCTCCCCCCTCCTCTCCCTCGTGTCCCACCCAGGACTGTGAGCTTCTAGATCTCTACTACCGCCCAGAGCGCCTCATAGTGACCCACCTGTCCGTGCCCCCGGTGGCCATCCGGCCATCGGTGGTGATGGAGTCAGCAGCAGGGAGCAACGAGGACGATGCGACGATGAAGCTGGCGGTGATCATTGAAGTCAACAGCGCCCTTAGATTGGGCATTCAGAAGGGACTGCCCATGCCCAACCTCGTGGTGAGCCCAGGGTTCTGGCGCTTTGGATGGTTCGGGGTTTCGGGTTTGGGGCTGGGGCTTATGGGTTGGGGGGTGGCAGCAGCGGCGGGGAGCAACGAGGATGATGCGACGATGAAGGGCGGTGATCATTAAAGTCAACAGCGC